GTTTATATTAAAATTAGATGTGTATTTATGATTTCTAAATATTGGATCCACTTCGATCAAAACATGAATTGACAATAGTGAACAAAGGAATCGTGATGATGAAATCCTATTTTAATTGTCAAAAATATGATCACATCACATATAATTTCTTGCTACGTACTACTGGAAAATATATGGAGCTGATTTTATCAGTACTTTAATATATTTTCTTTTTCACTTGAATTGATTATTTATTATTGTTCTACAATTTATGCATAATTATATTGTTATATGTCATTTCTTTTGTTAAAACATTAAGCTACATGTAATTGGGAGGGGGGAGGGGTAATATTTATTGTATACATAAGAGTAGTGAAGGTAGTTTGCTATGCCAAAGGTCGCCTACTAATATTTTCAAGATTTGTAAAGAGAGATCATAAAGTAATTCTTTTATGTTTCTGTATAATGAGTTACAATCGTATTTCCTCATCTTTTAAATTGCGTATTTTAATTTGAGATTAGATATACATAGCATTTAGTTTGTGACAATTATAGCTTATAAAAAATATATTGATCATATTATTGTCGTCACAAAGAGATACTTAAGCAAATACTTAGTATTAAAGCAGTTTATATTTTGATGCAATATATTGACGATATTACAAGAATAGCTCATTTTGTATGCTGACGATTTTTTTTCTATTATTTCTTAATTCAACTAAAATTTTGACTTTTCATAAGTAAAATATAGACTCATAGTATTGACGTGTTTATGTCTTTCTACTTTCACTAAAAGTATTTGCGGTGTTTTGATGTTTTACTCTTAATTTAATTTCTTTGAATATTAAGATTTGTAAAATACATACAGATTAAATTTATAAATATTTTGTTTGTTTTATCTAATGAAAGAAAAAAAAATTAAAATACCTTAAATTTCATAAAATATTTTTTTGATTACTTTCAAATTTGAATTCTCAACAGAAATTAAATCTTAAATTTAATAAGATTTTTGTGACCGCGCGAAGCGCGGACAAGTTCACTAGTGATATATAAAGGATAATGTTAGATATGCTGATGTGACATGCCTCCAAGGACTAGAAACCTATTTATCTTCTCTCTTTTTTGCAATTTTTTTTTGACCATTTTTCAAATTTCAAAATACAAAAAAATTCACCTAAATAATAAAGATAGTCACATTTAATTCTTTCGTTATCAATAAATAGCCATATATAATAAAACTCAATTAAAGAAAACACTTAATACTCATTTAATTATAATTACTCAAATGTACGTTTATATTTCTTTTTTATATTCGTATGTTACTAATTCTTTTGCTAACTATAAATACTAAATCAAATGTCCTACCCTGCATAACATTCTGCCTTTTTGCATTCACAACTTTCTTTTCAATTTTCTTCTTTTTTATTTTGCTTCTTTTCATTGAAACTCTTTTCGCAAGAAGTTTCTTTCTTTCTTTTTTATTGTTTTTTATTTTATTATTATTGGTGTTTTCCCCACAATTATTAACTTTGTATGTAATTTTCATGTCTGGTTTTATTTGTTAGGAAATGGGAGAGAGCTACATATATATGACCTTATTTGCGAAAAGAATTCGTCAAAATTAAACTTGAAGAATATGCAATCATTAGCAATATATCAAACTTAATCTACGTATATTTGTTTGTTGCAAGCTTGTATATAGTTATAGTATAAATTTGAATGTAACAAATTTTATTTTTCTAGGGTAAATGCCCTGTTTTAAATAGGGAAAAATGTCTGAAATATATACGAACTTTGACCGAAATTGCTGTAACAATACCGAACTTTGGAAATGACATTTTACCCCCTGCACTATTTAATAGTGTATTTTAAAGGTATATATGTGCCTACTGTTTTATTTAAAAATAGATTTTAGACTTAGACTTATTTTAGAGTTGTCACTTAATTTTTAAAGTAAAATTAAGAAAACTATTTTTTCCAAAAGATTAAAACAGAAATCTAATAAAAATAATAAAGGGATTCGAGATTCATATTAACATTTTGGGAAGGGTTTGAAAGCACCCGAAATGCCCGCTAACACGCGGTTATCCGATAATTAACTATTTGGCTAATTATTTTAAAGAAAATAGGCATACTTGATTAAATAGAGGGAATAAGCAATTAAGATTTAAAATCATTTTTTTAGGGGAGAGGGAAATATTATTAAAATTAATTTAAATAGGAAAATAAGCATGATTATCTTTTAGGGAAATCGAATTAGGAACCTTAAAATTGACTAGCAAATAACCACTTCAACAAATACGAAGCAGATAAAAATAAGGACAAATTACTTAACTACACTCCTTTACCTACCTTAATATCCATTTATCCCTACTTATTTCAAAAATTTCAAAAATCCCTTATTTACCTATGTATCCCGTGCACAACGCTATGTATCCCGCTATGTGAAATGTATCAAACAAGAATAGCTCATTTTGTATGTTGACGATTTTTTTTCTATTATTTGTTAATTCTAAGTAAAATTTTGACTTTTCATAAGTAAAATAACATGTATAGCGATGTTTTTCTTTTAACATTTTTGTTATAGACTCATAGTGTTGACGTGTTTATGTCTTTCTACTTTCACTAAAAGTATTTGCGGTGTTTTGATTTTTTTACTCTTAATTTAATTTCTTTGAATATTTAAGATTTGTAAAATACATACAGATTAAATTTATAAATATTTTGTTTGTTTTATCTAATGAAAGAAAAAAAAATTAAAATACCTTAAATTTCATAAAATATTTTTTTGATTACTTTCAAATTTGAATTCTCAACAGAAATAAAATCTTAAATTTAATAAGATTTTTGTGACCGCGTTCACTAGTATATATATAAAGCTAAAACATAAAATCAATGATGTGGCGCTCTCTAAGGCCTCAAATCCTATTTGTTTTTTTTTGTAATTTTTTGAGATTTTTTTTCATTTTAAAATACAAAAAAATTTATGGCTTTATATTTAATTATTTCCTCATTAAAAAATATAAATAAAACTGACATTTATGACCACTAAAAGTAATTGTTTGCTTGCCATTAACTATTGAAAAAAAAAAAAAAAACTCACCATTAATGTTGCCCAAAATTTTCTACCGGAAAAAAACTCTTTCTCCTTCCCTATTAATAGGTATTGATGTTATATTAGTATTAAATAGTATACATTAGTGTTGCACGATTTTTTTGCCAAAAAAACTGATTTCAATACCCTTCTCCTTCCCACTAATTAATATTTATTAAAAGATATTAAGTGTTGCACCTCTTCAAATTCTGGGGTCTCAATAAAATGGTAGTATAAATTTAGGAACAAAGCTCCAACAACCCCATATGCTAGGTGAAAAATTTATGATTCAATATTTCATCAGATCGTGTAATTTTAATTATTATTTTTTATTGGTATAATTGTATCAACAAACTTATTAGTGGTTATACATGGTTCTGCGTGATACTATAATCTCTTCTTAACATTTTCTTATGCATGAACGTTTATTGTTATGATTTCTAAGCAATATATCTTTTCTTTGATTGTTAAGTATAATTTTTGTTGAGTTTGTTCCATCATTTGCAGAAAGTGAAAAGAAAAATGTATCAACAAGCTACAACAACTATTCAAATGGACTTTTTATCAAACTACTTATTATGAGTATCTCAAATTTATCTTTTTGATTATGCTTGTAGATATAATTATTTAAATATTTATAAGATGCAATTTTACTTAATACATTTTGTATATGTGTTTTGTTTCTTTTAATTTGTTGGTTTAACTTTCTTTTTTGTTCATTATTTTATGTAAGATTTTTTTTCTTTGTGTGTTTTCGTACATGATTATGAAAATAATAAATTGTTCATAAATAAGAACGTTGAAAGAAAATTGATCTCTCATCAGCGTATAAACTTTAGTTTATTACTGTTTTCATTGATATTATTTCTCAAAACATTTAGATATCCGAAGGCTTGATCTTAATTAGTTTTAAAAAATAATGCGAATAAAATTATGTTTTCTTATGCACAAAATTGATTGGCTGAGAAATGAAATCAAACTTAATTTTGACATATTTAAAGTTTCAAATTTAGTTCAAATTAAATAGAGTGAATTACGTTCAACTAGCTATTTTTACTCACCGTTAACTACCTCTTATTGTATTCAAATCTCATTAATGTGTTAGTACCTATCATTTTAATTTAAAATTTTAACATCGATTAAATAATTACTCAATTGATTAGGGGAAGATAATTACTATAAAAGATGAAAGACGTTAGATTTCAAATAGGTAATGAGAATATTAAAGTAGAAAAAAGTATTAAAATTTTATTTATTCAAAAATAAAGCACAATCTTTGACTAACAACAAGAATTAGGGAAACAAGAAAATAATGAAATTAATTAAATAAATATTGAAAGGATCGAAAGAAAATGGTTCAGAAAAATAAAAAGAGGAAGTAGAATAAGAGAGGGAAAGAAACGGAGATAATCACGAAGTAAAGAATGAAAACTCAAGGAAAAGTAACCTATTTTCTAAACTAGAGCTTATTATTTAGGATATGTACAAATGAGGGGGAGATTAGATACAAGCATAGAAAAAAAATTTGAAAAATTTAATAATTAAAAAATGATATTATAAATTTTAGTAAGTTTATTTCAAAATTTATAAATAATTTTTATGGCCGCGCAAAGCGCGGAAATCTTCACTAGTTTTAGAATAATTTGAAAAAAGACGGAGGAAACTCAAACTACTATTGCATTATTGAACATGCCGTTAAACTATACAAAATTGAATAAAATGTCATTTGTTATAGTAAGTTTTAAAATGTCTCTATCATCAATAGTTTGATCCAGAAATACTCGTATAATAGCCTAATAAGTTTAAAATGTATATTTTCTGAATAAGTTTATATACAAAAGCCACCAATGTTCAAACAAGAAATAGTGAAAATTGAAATATTTTATTTCTAGTCTTGTAACTATCAACTGAAGAATATGACAGATAATCTTTGTACTATTTATAGGCTACTTATAGGTACCTTATATTTTGTATAGTTGCAATAAATTTCTTGAATAATCAATTAGCTAGACAGAAGAAACACACAATATGGCAAAGGTTGGAGGATCTAGATGGTCACTTAATGGTTTGGTGGCTCTTGTAACTGGAGGCACTTATGGAATTGGGTGAACCTTTCTATCAATTTTTTTTTCGAATTTAACTTTTATAATCAACTAGCTAGACAAGGCAGAAATGTTTCACTGGACGTTGGATAGTTAATTCAGAACTGGTACGAATAAGAAAAATCTGACTCATGTACATGTTTTTTTTTGTAGACATGCAATTGTGGAGGAGCTTTGTGAATTTGGTGCAAAAGTGTACACCTGTTCAAGGAATGAATCAGTCCTCAATGAATGTTTGAAGAAGTGGACTGACAAAGGCCTTCAAGTAAAAGGTTGTGTATGTGATGTATCATCTAAAGAGCAAAGAGTACAACTCATGGAAAAAGTTTCCTTGGAATTTGATGGAAAACTCAACATTCTTGTAAGAACGACTATAAATCTATGATTTTAAACATGTCACGTAACGTAGAATATTAGAATTACCAAGTACATGATACTAAAAAGAAAGATGTTTATACTAATATGGATGGATATATATTGCCTTATTACTATGTTATATTGTTGTTGTAGATAAACAATGTTGGAACAAACATTTGGAAGCCCACTACTGAATATACTGGTGAAGAATATGCACATATTATGGCAACAAATTTAGAATCTTCATTCCATTTGTGTCAACTTGCTCATCCTCTTCTTAAATCATCTGGATCTGGGTCTATTGTTTTCTTGTCTTCTGTTGCTGGTCTTGTCCATCTATCTGGTACTTCTATTTATGGAGCAACAAAAGGTACTCTTATACTCATCTATCCTTAAATAGTGAGTAATATAGCTACTAAGGTACGTATTGAGGGGCGGAGCCAGCATACTGTTAGGGGTTCATCCGAACTCCCTTCGACCATGTAGATGTCGAACCCCCTTCAATTAGTTCATATGTTAACTTCTTCAGATTTTGAATCACCTTATTAAAAATCCTAATTCCGCTACGATACGTAATTGACTAAGCTTATATATAAGTTGATTGATCCAACTGACTAGTCAACATATTTTAGCTTAATACTTGTTTGATAAACAATAAAGTGTTTATAAGACAAAGTTGTAAGATGATCATCTTCTATGATTTTTCAGTTTATAAACACTTTTGGTTAGACTAAATATTTTACCCTTTTCTATGCTCGTAATGTTTACAAAATACTTTTAAGTATACTTAAGTAATTCTCAAAAAACAACTAATAAACATTTTTTAACTAGACACATCAACTACTTATTAACACTTTCGATACTTGTGTCCAAACAAGTAACTATTTATTTATACAAACAATTTCAATATTTAAAAAATAATTTTCAACATTTAAAACTTATCAGCTATTTACGATCAATGATCCAAGCTCGACTTTATATTTATTTATTTTCTTATTAACTTAATTATAATGACAGGGGCAATGAATCAGCTTACACGAAATTTGGCTTGTGAATGGGCAAAAGATGGAATTCGTGTTAATGGGGTTGCACCATGGTACATTAACACCCCCCTCGTCGAACATGTAATATTTCTCTCAACTTAATTATATCGTTCAAATATGTACAATTTTTTTAAATATCTTTAATTATTTACATAAATAAGGAAAAATTTAGTATAGGGACAAACGCAAAAGTGGATATAGACCTCAATAGCTTTGACTCAAATACTGCATTTAAGAAATTTTCTAAATAAATATAAATAATAGTCTTCGAATCCAATAAATTATTATGACCATGTTATGGTGGAATTTTAAACTCGAACCTATCAAAAATTAAATTTATCCCTCCATTATGATAGCGGTGGTGGTCATGGTGTTGATGGTGCTAGTTGAGGTGGACAAAAAAGTGGAGGGGGTTGGGACAAAATGATGGCATGCATGTCATGAGGTGTTCATGATTTCACCAAAATATTAATGGGGTTGCACCATGGTACATTAACACTCCCCTCGTCGAACATGTAATATTTCTCTCAACTTAAATATATCGTACAAATATGTACAGTTTTTTTAATACATAGTATAAATTATTTAATTTATTTTTAATTATTTACATAAATAAGGAAAAAAATTAGTATAGGGACAAACACAAAGGTGGATAGACCTCAATAACTAGATTTGTCAAAAAGGGTCGGCCCAAGCCTCGCGGGCCAAGGAATTTGAAGGGCTAGAGCGGGTCGGCCCTTCATTTGGAAGGGCTTGAAAATGCTCAACCAAACCCAACCCTAGAAGGCCCGAGAGCTGGGGTGGGCTAGACCTTTATTTTTTTAGTTTCTTTTTTTCATTTTTTTTCTTTTCAAACTTAAAATTCTATAACGTCAAGAAAATGAGAAGATTTCAAATCAAATATGGCAAACAATGATGTTGTTTCAATAACACTAGCAGAAATCTAGTGTAATTAGAATGTATCTAGGATACTAGATATACGAGATACATGAATGTGGTGTGATGCATCCCAGATACGCGAGTGACAAGCGAGATGGGAGGGAGGCGAGGACGCGAGATTTGTGTGTGTATTTTTGAGTTCATGTATCCGAGATACAACATAGCGTGCCTTTAAGTAATTAGCTCAAATACTAGCGAGATTGTTGTAAGTTACTCTTAAATAAATAGTTTTGTCCCATGGCCGACCCCGACCCGTCCCCGATCAAGCCTCAAGGGCCAAGGACTTATATGGATAGTCTTAAATGAGCTTGAAAAATCTTATCCCAACCCTACCCCAATAACGGGTTGGGTTGGGCCGGCCCCAT